ATTCGGTTCATTCTGCTCTTTGTCTGAAAGTATTGGCGCCAGTGTGTAACTGCAGTCTAAACTCCACGTACGATAAAACTGATGCGCATTAAAAAAAAGCCACAGATAACACGATGAAATTTGTCGCCTGTCCACACAACTTAATACGATGTGTGACTGTACTGTATGTTACTGACTGAAAACAAGCTGAAAATTTTGAACAAACCGTCAGAATTGTATGATCCAAGGAAAACGTCAATCATAGGAACGGTGACGAACATTCTCGGTGCTATTTTAGTTTCAATGCAATCTTTCAGTCCTACGCTAAGACCAACCAAAACCAAAACGGTGTTATGCACCCTATAGTTAACCATCAAACATGGTTGTGCAACCATAGAGGTGAGAGTAACCCACAAGGAAAATGCCACTCCAGCTGAACTGTCAAGCAGACCACAACTTCAATGCCAGTTCCACAAAAAGCAAAAGTCAAGACGCGGTGAACCGGCTCACTTTCGGTTTGTCACCATTAGGCCAAATATAACACAATAAATACGAGATTAGTTGTCAAGTCAGAATTGTATGGAACCAAATACGGTGCGAATCTAGTAACATTTGGGGATTACAGGCATGGTTACTATGGTACCGTGTCAACTGTTCCAACGACAGCATGTAATGGTAACTTCAGTGCTTGAACCAAAGATTTATGCACACAGAGATTAAGGCTTCTCAGCCGGAGATATGCTACTAGGGAACCACAATACCGTGAGTTATCTATCGGGCACAAAGCGATCTATATGAACTTGCCTTACAAGGACGAATTATCAAATGTATCGCTGGCTAGAAGACTCGATGATGGTATGAACGTATCATGCTGCTCAACAAAGACTAACGTTCACCTCTACGCCTTCATCTAAAAGATGCAGTGTCCGGTGATGTTACCTCGTTTTATATCTACTCCTTCTCTTGATCCCGTGGAGCAGGTTACATTGGTCGCAAAACAAAGGGCGTGTCGGAGGGAATAAGCGAACACCATCCAGTTTGTCTGGCGATCGGACAACAACGAAGGATTTCCAGTGCAATTGTGGTCCACCTGGTTGATATTGGTCACAGAGTCAATGTGGATGTCGCATTCAAGTTGACTTGTCGTGTCATACGTGTTTACACTAAACGTGTGAAATGTCGCATCTTGGCTGCTGTGGAAATGATCGGAATGCGGAGGCAAAACCCTAATTTGTGTGGGCAGAAATCTTTTGATCAAGCAGTGAAGTTACCATTGCCTACTGTCGTTGGAACAATAGACACGGTACCATAGTAACCATGCCCGTAATCTCCAAATGATACTAGATTCACACCGCATTTGGTTCCACACAATTCTGACTTGACAACTAATCACGCAGAAAGTTGAAACAACCATTTCACGCTGAAAATTTCTAATAGACCAGATAAAAGACTCACATTACCCGATTTATGCTGGTGCGGATAGCGCCGCATCTTTAATGGTGTTTACTGCAGACGAGTTAGGATGTACAAAATTCAAAACCACTTCAGTTGCTACCACGGCAGCATCAACGTCACAAACAGTTCTATTTGTGCACAAAAAATGGATTGGTGGTGTCTGATCGCAATGGCCTCGGAATATTGTAGCGAACGTTTTATTTCGAGTCGGTAACAGAGCACGAAATGACTTTGATGAGTCAATCACATGTTGCGTCATCACGTGATGCCTGGCGATCGATGACACTGGCTCCTTCTGGGTGTTGCTTGATTGTGTGACCGTTTGCCGAACCCATTTCGGTAAGTGGTTGGTAACCCTGGTTCCAAGCTGGCGCTCAGTTCTGCCAACATAGGATCTCCAAATCCACATTTGTATTCATAGATTGCGTTTGATTTGACAAACCGAGGCGTCCTTTGCGTAACCGGGGGCATGGGAGTTAGGACTGTTCTGTACACGATCACTGGTTTTGCGGCAAAGAACGTGTGTACAACAACTGACCTTAGGCGTTGTTCAACTACTCGACGCATATTGTTTCCCTTGAACGACAGTTGCAAAACTACTGTCTTTTCGGCGACTGTCGGTTGAGAAATATTCTGTACATTGCTGGTGTTAAACTTTCCTATAAATCCTCCTGGATAACCGCTGTCGAATAAAGTCTGTTCTATTTGGCGGGGTTCATCATCCAGGGTGTCGCTATTGCAATGCCATCTGGCCCGGTCAAATAGCATTCGTACCAATCTTTTATATGCTACTGGAACATAGCTGTCAAAGTGTAGATTGAGACCGGTCCACGTATTCTTTCGGTATATGGCTCGTTGAATGGATCCATCCATTCTCTTAATCATGTTGACGTCCAGAAACGGCAGTCGGTCATCAGTCTCATTTTCTAGTGTAGCGAATGTTTGAGTGTAAACAGTTCATTTGGTTTAGCAAATAACTGTTTGTGACGTTGATGCTGCCTTCGTGGCAATTGAACTGGGTTTGAACTTTGACCTTTTGTGATTGTCATATGATTTAGAACTTTGTACATTTTAACTCGCCCGCAGTAAACACCAGTAGAGATACAGCGAAATCTGCTCAAGCATAACTCATGTCATGTCAGTCTTTCGTCTGCTCTGTTCAAACTAATTTCGTATTCATTATGTTGTATGTGGCCTGATGATGACAAACCGAATGTGAACTGGTTCACCATATCTTGACTGTTGATGAAACATCCGGGTGTATTTTAACAGATTCCTAACTGTCGTAAAGGTAGAATGCTTTCTCTCTCAATTATACCGCTATTCAACGCTGGAGGGATAACATTCGATACACAACAAAAAACGGAAACAAAGGAGAGTTTCAAGCAAGCTGAAGTTGTAGCTTGATAGCGATAGGGGTGCTTAAAAAATGTCAAGGAGATACATTAATAAGGTTCTCCCAGTCGTTTGCCAGCTGGTTGATTAAATACAGGCAGCACAACAAACCAGATCTGCAATCGTACACCTGAATTACGTAAGGAACTCATACAACTGGTTTGAAACAACAGCGAAGCTGTGAAGTTCGCTTAGGTAGTGTTTGACGGACTACTTAGAAAATATCATGATTGAATTCCTAAGTTAAACCGAAAGGTGAACGTTCAGAGGCATCGGCTAGAACAATCACACCAAGGTTTCTTATATCACCCATAAAGTGTTTTGGTTTTAGGGAATTATAGATAGTTAATTTCTTGACGATTATGTTTTTTTATCCTCTTTGTAACAAGGTGCAAATTAACTAATTAATAAAAATGTCAAGTAATGAAGTTATTACCATTCCAAGAACGGACATGACATAATAGCAATACTATTTATACTAGGAGATTTGTAAGTGAATCTTTGCAAACATTCCAATAGAAACGTATTGAGGAGCTTACCTCAGGGAAGTATTTCGAAAACGATAACAGAGTATCCACGGGCATTGAAATAAACGACATCAATAAGAAGTTGTACATTGTTTTTTCTAAGGAATTTATTCACCACAACCCACCATATAAATGTCTTACTATTTTTTACTACTAGATACAGAACAAAAGAGCATGAAACACTGCGTCTGTCATAGGCACAAAGTAGCAACATGTACAAGGTGAAATTACAATTACATTCAGGTAGCTCTATTGGGTATCAGTGTTATTCAAATTTTTTTCATTTACACCTATGCTGCAATCTGCTCTTTGGGTGATCAAAATGTTGAAACTGAGTACAGTCAACAGAGGAACATTTGTTTAAAATGTCTCCGGACAATTAGTAGAAATACCGTTTAATAAAGAGGTCATTTTCGATTACTCATCATCGTAATACTAGCTAAAGTTTACATGGGACCTTGCTATCAGTGTGAACAGGAAACGCAAAGGGCGTGTGTGCGAGTGCAAACACGCCACAGTTACAAACGAAACAACTTCGTGAAGCAGTTACATCACTAGTATGATCTAAGTGGTATCGTGGATTTATAAGGGAGTAAGTGGTATGCCACAAAAACCACAGAGTTCAAACTCAGCTTTACTGCTTGCGGAAAAGTGAATCATTCAATCGAGTTTCAGTCTTTGGCCAGACCCCGATACCTCACAGTTCTTGATTGACCGTCCTTGAGTGAGTACATTGGATGAAACGAACTAGCACATTTGATAGCGGTCATCGCATCAACAAGTGTGTCACAATCGTAATAGTGATTCTCTTAGTGACCAAACTATTACTCGTTTGTATAAGCATCCAATTGTATGACCTACGTAATTCGTTTGGCAGGAACGTATGAATAGGCATACACAGAGAGGTCGTATATATAAGTGCTTCATATTTTAACCGTATTCAAGATGCTGAAGTGGGTCTAAAAAAAGATATGTATTTCAGCTGTGTGAAAGGTCCTTACACCCTTAGAAATTGCTCCAGGAGTTTGCATAGAAGTCTATGCAGCGTTCGCATATTGTCGTCCTTTTCAGTACAATGTAACGCCTTGTGAACAAATCAAACAGGGTAACGATTTTCCAACAGTAGTGCGTATATAGATGAAAACTCATCTGTACGTTGCGTATATCTTTTCACGATTCTGTCAACCAAACCGATTTCAAGATTTTCTATTCAGCTCTGTAGGACAAAGCTGTTGAACTGCATATACTGATCCGTCCAGATTTATTTGTTATATATCTCTTGTTAAACTTATCCACCGTTGTGAAGTCAGACAGTACCATCCGGGAGGGCTAGTTGGCTTTTATGTTGAGATTCGAAGGTGGACGCTTAGTTGTTGTGGACGGAGTTGAAATGTCAGAGATATCTGATGTATCAAAGATCTAGCCAACTGTTTAAACTATGCCATTCAGTTACAGCTTGTGAACACCACACACAAGAATTGGTACTTTTATGAAGATTTCCATGAAGACGAATACAAATAAGGTTCCCGTTGCTACGCCATCCACATGCAGACACAATCGATATGCTAACTTATAAATTATGGGTTACTTATGAGTAATGTGGCAGATTTCATAATTTGGATGAGGTCCTATTGCAGAAAATTTTGGCTTCGAGTGGATTCGAACCAGTTACAAAAACAGCATGCCCAAACGCTGCAAGTGATCTATCAGCTGAACTACGAAGCCCTGGTGGGAGCTAAGAAATTTCACATTTGGACTCAGTCACCTGCTCAGTCTATTGTGTCATATAGAGTCAATCGAATGAACCAGCGGACTGGCTGGCCAAGTAGGGTTTCTCAAAAGTTAAAGCCAGAATCCACTACTACCACCGTTGAGTATTGGGCAGGTAGTTGAGTCGAAATATGACATTTCTGAGCTTTCCGCGTGGCCTCATAGTTCAGGTGATAGACCACTTTCAGCATCTCAGCATACTGTTTCTGTTGCTGGTTCGAATCCAGTCGAAGTCCGAATTTTTCGTAATTGGATCTCATCTAACTAGATATCTGGATTAAAGACATATCAACCTTCTACATTTAGTCGGGAATATATGAGCTTACTGTAGTCACGTAGATAAATTTTCGTCTTCTTTACTAGCATGCATTTCACACTTTTCGACGAATGTGATGTCCGACGAATACAACTGCGTAGATACATCAATGATTCAGTGGTTTTTCATAGAGTTGTTATAAGGTGATTCAAACATCCATTCTCTCCGTCAACTCTTTTTGGCTCTGCTTTTTCATTATATCTCTTTTTCGAAGGGGTAGGATCACGAAGATGAAAGCTACAAGAAGGTTGCAGCTTCCTGTCCAACGGTTATTCGCTTGATCACGCCAATAAATTTGTTTGTTTGTTTATCGTGTGCTTCGGCACTTGCGTGTGTACACGTACGCTCACAGGTTTTCATCTCGACTGATTTCCGTTCAGGCTCCTTATTAGGACAAACACTATTTAACTGACGAGGGGGGGTGAAAATCTTGTATTATGTGTATCGAAAACGGTGTATCCGAAATTTGGCACAGTGTGGGTTTGACAACGATGATGCGACAGAGTGTGTGGGAAAGCGACTGAGGGGATACGAAATGTCCAACCAAACCACAGAAATGACGTGTGGATAACATTCATTTACAATACAATGCTAGCCGTTTATGGGCAACCAGGACGAATGGACTATGCAAGTTAGTTGTCCGTTCTAGGAATACGCAACACATTGTTCTTAATATATTTTTCTATCAAAATGCACAGCATGGTACTAACAGAAATGACGGCTGTTATGCACAAGCTCAAACTATTTTGCTTAGAGTTTGACAGTAGATAGAGAGATTCACCCTACAGAAGTTACACTGGCGAACGAATGTATTTGGTCGATTAGCATCAGATCAGTACGACTGTATCGGTTCAAATGACGTAGAACACATAGATTGAACATCACCCTGAATTGCTTGCAGATGGTGCATTCCCATAGACTTTCCGGTTGGCCCCTTTCGCAAAGAAACTCTAGACTCGAGTTTTGCTCTCATTAGAGCAACTCAGTAGTGCATATCCTTGCCACTGCTGGGACTAGAACTCCGACTAAGTTTTTTATGAGGCAACCCTGTTGACATCACATTGAGCACGATGGAATTATCATATATGAACGCTCAACTACTCCCGCTTGTAAGCAATGATCCGGTTGCCCGATCGCCTCAAGAAGAGACACAGTCACAGTCTGTTAACCCCAATGACAGCGAAATTCAGGTCTGGTGTTTCTTTTCGAAAGGGGAATGTGACAGCTGCGATCAACTGTGAGTGATGTTCAATTTGTATAATGCAGAACAATATTTTAAAAAACGCAGCGGCAAAGCTTAATTAAATTATGAGGCAAACAAACTTGTTTCCGGTTACTTGTCTATAGGCTAGTTACAACCTAACTGTGTGCATCTTAGTTGCCGGGACGAGAATGAAGAACATTGCACAAATAAGCGTCAGAATTGCACCACAATGGATGAAGGTGAGTTCGACGCGATTGTTTAAATGAAACCAATCACTATAGATGAATGAGCTATCGAAGGATGGCCACGACAACCTCACGCTTTTTATGTGTACACCTGTCAGGAGACAACGGAGTGATGGTGGTAACTAGGATAAGACGTTCAGCCCGTTGTCAGCCCGATGCAACAGTGTGGATCTGTGTTCTCATGTTATGACGGTTAACCAGCAGATAAGAGTCTTGGTCTGTAACGGGAAGGATATCCGATTCAGTCCTTTCGATGAGTCCAAAAAGGGCGAAATCAGTGGTGAAGTGTCGGTTTAAAGGTGAACGTCAAAAAGCATTCTTTAGGACAAATCGTTTTTTTGTGCGTTGATCTGCACACCTTCTTTTGTAGGAAGTATAGAGCATGTTAAACCCACGATATTTTACCGGAATGACGTTGATAAGTATGATACCCACCAACTGAATTCTAATCAGGCTGTTACCTGATAAGCTTAACTATACAGCTAAGTTAAGCCAGAATGACTCACAGAAATTGTAGAGTACATGTGAACAAAATTTCCATTTTGTAATCAATCAAATAGACCCTCGCGGCTTCGTTACATTTTGTTACCCGAATAACCAGTTGCTTGTTTAATATACAACATCAGAATTCAATGTTGAGAAGTTCAGATCAAACGTATCATCCGAAACTGAGTCGATTGCCGTTAATTAATGCATTATTGCTAAGGATCACCCAACAGCGTAAAGTCCATAGGCAGAATTGAAATTACCCTAGTAGTTTAGGTTGATAAGGATGGTGAAGCCATTCAACGTGATGAAATTGATTACGTCCACAATCCAAACCTACTGCTCAAAAAAAGGGAAAATTATATACTGTTGAAAAAATACTTTGTGTGTCGCTGCTGTGTATGAACTAAGTGAGACTGACTGAATCAGCCAAGGTTGAAAGACATTGCCATATAACAATCTTGATTTCGTGGCTTACGTGAGCTACACAAAGACGGTGTCTCTTCGAGGCCAATTTCACCTGTGAGCAATTCACCTTGTCACAAGTGTGCAGAATTAACGCTATCCGTTAGATAGCAGCTATCACTAAAATGCGTATACCGTTCACTCGAAGTGACTGAAACGGTCGTTGAAAAAAGAAAGCAATTACTTTTCATGGTATTTCTTCTGTTTAAATAAACTCCTCTAAAGGAAATTATGTTTCCTATGTGACTGTGTAAAAATAGATAACGGGTTACCAGTAAATGAACCCAAATAACTACGTTGTTGGTGCACCACTAATATTGAAATCTAGTTTGCCAGAAGACGACGTTGTCGAGTGAGGGGATAAAGATGAGATGGTCAATTATTCAGTCGCTCATCAATTTATCATGCAAAAATTATAGAATCGTCGATTGTCAGAAACCGTCGGTGAACGAACAGCTTACAGGCGTTATAGTGACGGTATAATTTGCATATGCATTGTATCAGTTGGTCAGAACACAATATTAGGGAAGGTTAGTTGGCATTACGATAGCATTCGTTTTGCTCTAGAACTGAGGTCAACATAGGACCTTACTTCCTCAATTGTCTGTATGTCCTCATGCTCAGATAGCTCAACACAACGTAAGGTTACCTGGAAGAACATGGATAAATCAGTTTTCTCACCTAAACTAATTTGTCATTAAAATGAAGGTGTATTCCTATCAAAACTAAAGCAGTAATAACATCGCACCTAAAAAAATAATGAAGAGGCTTGAACATTCCCGCAAAGTTGCTGCTCAGGATGCAGTAATCTTGAACACGTTTAAACGAATAAGTTGGCTGATGGAACAACCTTCAAGATGTAGGCGCATAGAGAAAGAGAAACGTAGCCAAATACAACTTATCCTCAAACTTTCATCCTCACAGAGACTGTCCCAGCTGCAGAAATAGTCGTTGAAGGTCTTCTCGTTCGCTTAGCGATTTATGCACCGGCTTCGGACAGGCGATACATCTGTCGTGCATTTTACTCTGTCACACATTTGGTCGAGCTGGATTCTGTGAACCTGATGCTAATGTTTCCAATTTTTAATGAAGTATACTGAGCTGCGACGTTCCTATACTGCATGCGTCCTCTCCACCTTGCCAGGTACTTCTTAGATCTGAGTCCCACCGCACTCAGGCTCTGCCGGTCTTCACAATTCACCTTCGTACTGGGCTTGAACACGTTGTGCTGGACAGACAGTTTTACATTTGACTGTTTCTTGGCGGCCTCTTGCGTGTTCGTCAGATTTCGGTTAACCAACCTCTGAGCCCCTGCTAACTCACGTGCATTCATTCACTGATCTCCCCATAAGCCATTATCGTGATCATCTGGCAAGCGTGGCATGCGTTCATAAACTAGCTCGAACGGCCACTTCTTTGCTGGTCCTTGTAGTAAATAGCGATGGACCAACGGAAAAATGGTGGCACTTCTTCCCAACATCCTTCTGTCGCTGACAAACACGCTTTGGTTATGCGATTGTTTCTTTCCGTCAACCCTTTTGATTATAGGTAGTAAGGTGTTGTGCTAATTTTCTTGATTATTCAGCGCATCAAACGGCTCTGAAATGCTCCACTTTTGATGCAGAGGCCTTGGTCAGTCAGTATGTTCCACAGTATTCGCTAATCTGCAACGATGCGTTTCATCACCGTCCTGCATTCACTGTTTGCACTCCCAATGATTATAGGGGCTGCTTCCATCTTACGAAATGTTCCGTTTTGACGATGATTTGCTGGTTTTCGGAAGTTGTTCATGGAAAGAGCGCTATCAAGTCCACCGGCCATAATTCTTCAATTTTACTGACCAGGACTGGTTGGACGAGATCTCGGTTCCAGTGATTAGTGCCACTTGGCAGCCCGCATTGTTGGCACGCCAGTATATAGTTGTTGATATCGTCTTTCATTCACGGTCGGTTAGTGTGCTTCTGCATTTAGTTAGTTCGATGATATAACGTATAAACCAACTTATGATAATCATTCTAAACTGTCGCTCTCAATTCCGCCAGTATAACCCGTACGCTTATTCCCTCCTGCAATTGGCACTTTGATATTCTGGCACCATTGAATAACCAGCCTGACAAACGTACTCCGACCGCTCTTGGTTTTGAATATACTCCACATATTAGCGGTTGTTCCATCAATGGAAGCTGGTTATTCGCTTCCCAGATCAGCATAAACCTTTCGTTGGACTGTTTGTAGTCCT